CTGTGCACAACGGCCTCGCCGGCTGCTGCTCAGGGTGCTGCCCCTGCCGCTGCACGGAGGTTTCTGCTGTAGGCAGCGGCCGGCAAGCCTCAGCAAACACATTTAAATCTGAAGTGACAGATAAAGCGATTTACGGCGACAGTTTAGCATCAGATCACTTCCCACCAGGCAGTCAGCATCCCTGCGGCCCTCCTGCGTGCTAGTCCATCAAGGCGGTCTCTAAATCACTGACTGCAGCTGTGGCCAGGGACAGCCAGGAGCAGGGGTGGGGCTGCTCGCGTGGTGGCCAGGCCTGCTCCGCTGCCCCCAGGCAGCTGGACGGGGTGAGGCGGGGGCTTGCAAGGGGGACAAGGATAAGCGCCAGTCCGCAGATTTTCACAAATCAAAGTTCCAAGACTTAAGGAAGCAGAGCGCCACTTCATGCCTTATTTTAAATAAATAAGCGGCTTAGAAGTCTCCCCGTGAGGCCAGCTTGTCTCGGTGAAACACGGCTTCCCACCGTTCTTCTTGGCCAGGCCTGCACCTTGGCTCCTCAAAGCCCTCCTGGATCCCCCTCGCCTCCTGCCACCTCCCCGATGAATTAATTGGTCCCCCGGGGCGTTGCATGGTGCTTTATTCGGACCTTCCTTCCAGCACTTTGTCACATTATATTTTGCTTAGCTACTCTTGCTACTCAGTTCCTGGTATTAATGTACTGGGCTCTCTGGGCACATGCTGGGGCCTGCACGGGAGGGCCTAAGGGCATCACCGCCCTCATGCTCCCCCTGGGGCGAGGCTGACACTGAAGCCATTTTTCATACATGGACTCAGAGGCTCCAAGGCCCCAGCAGGAGCAGAGCGGGGACTCCAGCCCGGCCTGGCCTATGCCATGACCCTCATGCACTGGCCTGCGATGACCGAGGGCAAAGATGCCGAATGTGTTTGCACAAAGCATTGCATTCATCTCTGTGCTGTCCTGTTGTGTCCTCAAGGTCACAGCTGGGCAACTGGACTCTGGGGCTGGCCAAGAATGGGGGTCTTTCTTTGTGCCCGGACACTTCCTGTCTGGGACATGGGGCACACACACATAGGGCTGGTGAGCAAGAATCTCAAAGGCTTGGCGGAAAGGGAGGACGCAGACACTCTGGAAGACGTTGTACCCTCCTAGGTGGAGACTCCGAGACCCAAGTTCCCCCCAGTTATGGCCCTGAGAGTTACAGGTCAGGCTGGAGAGCCAGGCAGTGTCCCTGAGAATCCCCTACTTCTGCAGAATTGAGGGGGTCACAAGGGCCCCCCTGGCTTATCTCGCCAGCATGGCAGCCCCATTTAATTAAGACAGATGCGGCACGCCCTTGTGAGCAGCAGCCGTAGCCGGCGCAGATGGTCAGAGCCTGAGCCTCTCCCGGGCACTGCACTAGCGAGTGACCTTGGCCAGGGCCCATGGAGCGGGGCCGAGGTGTGCCTGGTGGGGGATTCAGGGCTTGGCCTGCTCCTGTGACCTCAGGCCCTGCCACTCAGCCAGCTAGGCATCCCCCTTATGTCCTGCGCCCAGCTGCCCACCTCAGCCCTCCACGTACCACACAATACGCATCCCATCACACAAACACACACACGCAGGCCCGTCACACACACCCACCATCACCCTCCATCCTATCACAAACACCCACAAAGTCAGGGTAAAAACCTGTGCCATCCCGGACTTCAAGTGCCAGGTGGGCAGGGGGAAACAGTTCGATTCCAAAGTCCTGAGGGGAAAAGGAGCAGGGTGGAGCCAGGGAGGCCACTGAACCCTCCCCACAGGATCCTGGTCCTATGGGGAGCGGGAGACACGCCCCAGGCTGGCTGAGAAACCCCCAAGCCCATATCTTGGGGTGGAGGAGGCCCTGGGGTGCCTGTCCCCTCCCCTCACAGGCTCTCCCCAGCTCCCCTGCATCCCTCCCTCTAGGGTCCCTGCAGCTGGAGTGAGGCCCAGCTGGTGACACGCCACCCCATCTGGCAGCAGGGAGAAAAGGAGACCCCCACACAGCAAATCCAGAAGTTCTGGCTGGACCTCAAGCTCCCAGCTCTGTCCAACCCTCACTCTGTCTCCATGGGCCACCAACAGCCGTGGGGCCAACACTGCTCCTGGCTTCAAAAATAAAAATTTAAAAATTCCCACCCGGAGATAATTGCTCTCTCCTTTTGCCTATTGTGGTGGCTCCGTGGTCGGCGCTGAGAAGCAATTATTCACGGCTAATGATTATAATCAAGTCAAATAGAATTTAATGGACACATATTCTCTTCCTGCTTGAAACTTTACATATGAATTAAGCACATATGGGTTTCACGAGGCACAGACGTAGATTTATGCAGCCCTGAGAAGCCCCGCGTTGCCGACGACTTTTATTCTGCTAATAAACAGGCTGATTTACGGCTCCGCTGGAAGCGCGATCTCTGCTGCCCCCTGGTGGGCGGTGGGCCGGGGTGGAACCACAACTGGGGACCCTCCCAAGTTGGGGAAGGCAAGATCCCCCTGCCAAGATGCCCGAAGTCTGACCAGCACCACGGCCGCCTCAGGCTTGGGTACAGGGTCTGTGTGGGAACCCCGTGTCCAGGCCCTTACTAGCCATTCTCTGGGGCTCTCAGTGGGTCCTCAATCCTCCAGGCTGAGACTAGAAAAAGGAACAGCTCCCAGGAAAACATGCCAGGTGGTGCTGAGTAAACCGAGGCAAGCAAGGGGCGGGGAAAGATGACTGTGGGCACCTTCAGGCGGAGCTGATGCCCGGGAGGTCACCAAGGTCACTGATTCCAGCCCCAACCCCACAGCAGTGACGAGCCCCTGATTCCTACAGTGTCATTCACGCCTCAGCACCCCTACAAACTGACAGTGATCGTCTATCACCCCCACAGTGCAGAGGAGGAAACCGAGGCCAGGCAGGTACAGAGAGAGAAGCAGAGTCCCCAGAGAAACTGCATCGTCCCCAGCCCCAGCCCCAGCCCCAGC